CACAGTGGAGGCGAGGGCGGGGGAGGCCGTGGTGTTCCATCCCCTGAGACCTCAGACTCAGGCCACAGAATGGAGTCTGCTCAGATTCATGACAAGGAACGTTGACAATGGTAGGAGTGCCGTTTTCAACGCCTCAGCTTTCTGGAACTCTGCTATCACCTTTGCCCATGGCCTGCCAGTCCTAGGGCAGAGACGCTCCCGTGTGCCATCTGAGTTGACCTTGTGTTTTGTTGTGCCGGGGCCTGGATTGGCAGGGTGAAACGCGGCCCTGGGGACTTCCTCACACAGATGTGGGCTATGTTTACAACCACGGGGTGGTTTCCCAGGCAGCAGCCGCTTGCTGACAGGAAGCCCTTTTCCTCCTCTGTAGCAGGTGATGGCCAGGGACATCAGCTTAAAACCTTCAGCTCTGCTTGACATCTCTACTCTTGGGGCTTCAGTACCCCACATCCCCAAATGGTCTCATTTTCTTGGTCAATACCCACCTGACACACAACTTCTGGAACCTGACCAGAGCTTTTGTGCTTGTCCTTGTAGCCCTTCCTGATCATCTCAGTCCTGGAGAGACAGGAACTCCTATGGCATCAGAACTTTGAGGGTTTAGGATATTATTATAAATGGGACCCTCTCACAGTCCCCGACTATACCCTGGCTCTCCCCACACTCGCTTTAGACTAATGGCCAGACCCAGAATACAGCCAGGAGATGATGCTCCTTGTGGCCGTCATCTACAGACCAAATGTACCACAGACTCCAGGCTGACCCTTCATAGGCTGTGCTAGATCTTGAAACATGAACACCACCCCCCAAAGAAAAAGGAGAAAAGAGGATTTTGAAAATCTTGCTATGTCAGCATCAGTGACCTGGGTTAGTAGAGGGCAGGAGAGCATTTTCGGGACGACACATCAGACAGGAAGTCTGCCACCCACAGACTTTACCTGCCAAAGTTCCCAAGAGCCCAAGAGGGTGGTTATTTCCTATTTAACTGGATCTGCTCCAGAGTCCCTCTATTCCAGCAGGCATGACGGACCTCCAGATAAGGCCCACTGTCAAGGGAAGCTACCCATTGCCTTCGTGACTCCTCCTATTCTTCTGGCAATCTCCTCCCCCTGGGGACATGGAGATGAGAGGGTAGAAGTTCACAAAATTTCTGGAAGGGCTGCAAGATTTAAAGTTTGAGAAGTCCCACCTGTGCTAATCTCAGAACCTCCATCCCCTAGTGTGGACAGCTTCATGGGTTCCCCTTCTCTTAGTTCCTGTGAGCCTCCAGGTAAGATGGCTCCATAAGACAGAAGCCTGTCAGATGCCTGCCTCAATGACCATTGTCTGTCCAGCCCCTTTTGCCAAAGGCTACAGGGATGAGCTCTCCAGGTCTGCAGATTGTCTGAGGACACCTTAGTCCCTACCCCTGCCATCTGCTCATTCTCCTGGGTCTGGGTGAGATTTTGCTCACCCAACCTGGAAAACCCTAAACTCAGAGGGACCAGATATTTACAGGAAAAAAAGGAGAAATGTGGAGTTGAAGAACATTGCAAGAATGCTTTTTCTCCAGGAAGTCCCCCTCTCCCCACTGGGTGTCTTCTCCCGAAGGGAGGGATGGACACCGCAGACAAGAGGAACCTGCTCTGAAATCTTAAGACGGCCTCTGTTCTCTGGTCTGGAGGATGAACTGGGAAGAGCACCGCAGACTCTCTCACAGCTTAAACTGCAGCGTAATCAATGAGGAGAGGAGAGGAGCTAGCTCTCCTAAAAAAAGTGCTCAAAAAAAGCAAATTGTCTCCATTAGAAGCTTTTATTTATTTTCTTTTATTAAAAGCTTTTAAAAGGAAGTTCTATTTTCAGGATTCCGTCCTTTGAAAATATGTAATTGTCCATCTTTATACTACTGAGCCTTTGTGCTGCCCAGCAGTGGGCTCGTGGCTCTTGTCTGATGTTCCTGGATTATTTCTGCAAACTTTGAATCTCCCGATTTATCTGAAAAGCCCTTCTCCCTTTGTGTGTTTGTGTGTCTGGGGGACATAAAGTGTCTATACACTGTAGCAAGATCCCAAGGAGCATGTAACAATGAGCAGCCGTCCAACTTGCCACCCGTCTCTTGCTTAGCTGTCACCACTTGCTGTTAAGTCCTTGGTTCGCGGTTGGAAGGTTCCAGGGACTTCATTTCTTCCCTGCCTCTGATTCTGCCGTTCCCCCTGCCCCGTCTTTGTCACAAAGCCTTGTTCCTTCTCCGACATTGCTTTGACTTAACCACTTTCTTCTCTTTTTCTTGCTGATTAGACGTTTTCTCAGAACATGTACTTACCCACACTTCTAGAGGGTGAAGCATCAGAAAGGTTGTAAAATAGAACGCATATGAATGCGTGTGCTGTGACTTTTTGGTGGCCTCCACTCTCCCACACAGTCAAGGAGGCAGGCCTGGAGTCTGGGCCCTCAGATGCTCCCCTCCAGCTTCCCACTCCCCATAGACTCCAGATGTAAATCAGCAGAGAGATAAGCTCTGGGTCTCTCCAAGTCCTGTGCGCGCTCTGTACTCTCGGAGCAGACTGACTGAGGGAAAAGACGTCAGGAAGGTCTACAGCTGCTTTAGAAAACGACCTTGGAAATTGCTAGCAAGGAGGTCTTCATTTGTCTTATTTATTATTTTTTTTCAGTATTGTTCCCTGGTGTTGCTGACTGGAAATGATGCAGATGTTCTGTGTTGTCTGACCTAAGTGTCTTCTTAATCTTATCCCACTGATGGCCTTGGGTGGAAATGGGCAGATTCCAATATGGAGAGAGAAGGATTTTTGCTGGAAGGAGCTTCTAATGCTGGTGTAAACTTTTCTCCCCCACTGAGGACTCTGCTAGTCCCTCGCCCACCACACCGTAGATGCATCTCCGCCCTCTCTGCTGCTCTGTGCCCTGGGGGCATGACCCCTGCCGCTGGCATCAGCCCGCCTCTTAGGCTTCTGCGCAGGCTCCAGACACAGGAAGAGCGAGGTCAGGCCTTTCCACCTCCTTCATGCCCCGTCTCTGGCAACAGCCGTGTCCCTTCCTGTCACAGACCCACTTGCAAATCAGTGGCCTCATCTCACTGGGCTTTTCCAGTGGTTCCTCCCGGTGCTCCCTCAGCACCAGGCTGTGACAGCATCCCAGCAGGGTCTCTGGGTGTCCTTCAGCCTTCAAGGCTGTCCACAGCATGGCAGGCTGTCTCTTCATTCAAGTCCCTTCTTTTAACCACCAGGGTGGATTCTATTCCCAGCCGGATACAAGGGCTCTCTTCCAAAACTTGTTCTTGAACTCTAGAGTGAGGGGAGGGGGCGGCTCTGGGCTGTCCGGTGCGTGGTAAGGCCCTTCGGACCACATCCGCAGGAGCTCAGAGCTAATGCTCCGGGTCAGCACCGCAGGATACTCACAGGACTCCTGCCGTTGTGCACATCTGTCTGGGGCATCTCATCAGCAGGGAGACTCCGTGGGGCGGGTTCTCCTCCTCCTGAATCCCAGGCCACACACAGTGTCATCTAGTATCCAGCCCCACTGTCATTTCCCACAAGGGCCTGTCTGTCTCCTCCTCTGGTCTGGGCGGGTCTCTGCGGAGCAGCATCCTTGCACGCTGGGAGGTATGTCAGTGTTAGGAGCGGGGCCACAGCCATGCTCGCTGAGCCTCGCAGGGGGTCCCTTTGAGAGGGACCAGTATGTGATGTGGATCTCAGCGGCTGCAGAGGGTAATCAACAGTCTCCGAAAACTGAAAGCCGTTGGGGGTGGGGGCAACTGGGTGGTGGGTGTTAGGGAGGGCAGGGGTGATGAGCACGGGGTGTTAACTGCGACTAATGAATTGTTGAACGCTGCATCGGAGACTTAGGACGTACTATGTGCTGGCTAACTGAACACGATAAAATAAATGAAAGACAGAAAGATGAAAGGAAAAAGAAAGAAAGAAAGAAAAAAGGCAGGAATGGGAAGGGAGAGAGGATGGTTGGCTCCCTAGGAGGACCTGAGCCATAGGGCGAAGACACCTTATATTCTGAGGAACATTTCCGATCAACACACGCATCTGAGCGACTCTGTGAAGAAGAACATCTACATTCACTGCACCCGTGGGGCTAAGGCGGGAGACAATGCTGACTGCCACACACAGAGCTTCCCTACTTCCTTTTTCATTTTTCTATAAAATCCCTGCTGAACCACAGGGCCTAATCCCGGCTTTACAGCCCATGGGGAGAGACTGTGCTCCAGGACTGAGTGGCCCCTGAGCCACCCGTCACTGTCCTTAGGCTAGCGCCTCGCCTCCAGGCTCACGCTGCTGTGGCCACTGCTGCTGGTCCTCGGTGAGTAGGGTGCCGGAGTAGGGCTTGGGTGCGGCCGTGGCAGAACCACCAGTGCCCGGGCATCGCAGAGCCTGCTCCTGAACACCTGTGTCTCTGAGGGGATGAGTGGGGATGGGCTCCGTCACCCGAGTCCTTCTTCCTCAAACATTCTTTAATCAAACTGATTTCATCTGTTATCATCACCGAAAACCGTGCCCAAGCTCCATGTGGAGGAAGAAAACTTTCGGCCTCCAGGAGGGCTTAAGACGTGTCTCTCTTTGTCAGTGTTTCTGACCCACCGCCACGCCCGCCTCCTGGTCCAGCGGTGAGACTCTCAAACAGCCGAGCGTCTGGAGGGACATGGTCTCTGAGCTTCTTAAGAACAAAAATTCTGAGCCTGCACCTCCAACGTATCAGACAGACAGGGATCCCTGGAGGGAAATACTGCGAGTGTTGCAACGTATGTGCAAGAACAGAAAATGCAAAAGATGAGAAAACGTCTCATAGAATGTGGGAGTCCCCTCTCTTTACGGGTCCCACTTGTCCCACTTTGGAGATTGGACCCAGGGCCCCCGCGAGGGTGGTCTGACTTCTGAGGCAGCTCCCTGAGAACCAGGATGCCGTCCCTCTGCCGTAAACTCACAGCCACAGGGCAGAGCCCGCAGACAAAACACACACTCTAGGCCCCCTTTCTTTCTCCGTCCCGTTCCTCCATGTCCAGCTCTGCCCCTCTTTACACCGACGGGGAACGCATAGGCCAAGGTCAGCCCTGGGATTAGACTTTTTATCAGAATGGCAAACGTGTCTGCAATGCAGCCTAAGGAGTGCGGTTCTAAACGGGTACTTGAACAAATACACATTGGTTTATAAGTATATAAACTGAATTTCTAGCTCAGTGGCCGGCTGAAATATTTTCCCCCTAAAGTCCGCGGCTGCAATGCTGGGTCACAGCGTACAGGGCTGGCCCTTTCCTCTGCGCAAACTTCCAGCTCCGACGTCCAGCCCGTCCACCTACTGGTTTCCTCCCCGTGCTGGGGCAGAGGCAAACACCAAGCTGCCCTGAGCTCTGGGGACCACTGTCCTCCAGGGGGAGGCACAGACCTGAGCAAGGAGAGAAGCCCACCGCTTCTTACAGGGGCCGTCCAGCAAAGGATTCTCAGAAGCCTCTGGAGAAGGCATTCGGGAAGGGCTCACTCCAGAGAGTGACACTCCAGCCCCGGGGCTAGTGTCCCAACGGACGGACTGTTTCATCAGGGAGAAGATGATAGGAAGGTCTTTGAATTGTACCCACGGGGCTGAGCCTCCAAGGAAGGAGAGATGCAGAGAAAGTTGATCCTGCCTGTCACAGGGACAGGAGGTCACCTTGAGTGGATACAGAGATATAACTACTGTTTAAAAATCAGTATTTGGTCCAGAAATGGGATTGAAACTTTTTAAACAGACGTGACACTAACAGGATCATGGGAGACACACGATGTCAGGAAGGGCTCCAAGGGATCGGGGCTGTGTGTGCGTGTGTGTACATCACCCTTCCCCCACACGAGCGGGAGTCAGGGCGTGGGGCCGGGGCCGGGGGTGGGGCTGGCCCTGCAGGTGTGTGGCGTCTTTTGCAGACCAGCTGAGCATTGACATGCCCCACGATGTCTACGAAGGAGACGAGGTGGTGGTGCGGTGCTCTGGGGTAAGCGGCGGCATGATAGGGGAAGTGATGTGCTACAAGGATGAGTCTCTGCTGGCCACTCACTACCACGCCTCAGGCTACACCATCCCAAAGGCAAGCCCCAGTGACAGCGGCTCCTATTCCTGTGAGGTCCACCAGCTGGTCTTCTACAGATTTACGACAGAGAGAACGAGGTCTGTATGGCTCACTGTCCAAGGTGAGGCTTCGCTGTTCTAGGGCCTGTGAGGGAGGAACCAGGGTGTGGGGCAGGGGACACTACCCAGGGAGGGAACGGCGATGGTGGCTGTGTGACCTTGGGTCCGTGTCTGTGTGTCCTGTTCGGTGGGGCTGAGGAGATAGGGCACCTCCCCGCAGGACCCGCAGCCTCCACGACAGCTGCTCTGTTCCATCTCTCCCTCCAGAGCTGTTTCCGGCTCCCACGCTGACCATCAGGCCCTCGCTGCCCACCAAGGGGAGCTCAGTGACCCTGTCCCATGACACCCAGCTTCCCAGGGACAGGTCAGGGACACAGCTTTGCTACTCCTTCTTCAGGGATGACCACACCCTGAGATCGGACGGAAACTCATCAGAGTTTCAGATCTCGGCCATATGGAAGGAGGACTCGGGATACTACTGGTATGAGGTGGCCACGGCATCCCACAGTGTCTCGAAGCCGAGTCCTCGGTCCCACGTGCTTGTGCAGAGTGAGCCCCAGGGGCGGGGCGGCAGGCGGGGTCCTGGGTGGCATGGAGAGGAGCAGGGCTCCCGGGAGACCCCAGCTGTGCCTCCCCTGTCCCTGCGGGCATGGTGGGTACGGGGCCTCAGGGACTCCCCTGGACTCTGCTGTCAGTGGCCACGGGGGCCCAGTCTCCCTGGCTCTGCTCTCCCGGTCTGCAAAGCGACCATCATAAGCTCTCCTGGAGCACCTTGTGTTGTGCTCCGAGAACAAGAGGTAAATAATGGTGGTGTCCGTCTGCAGGGAGCTGCCCCCACCGGGAACACCCAGCCCTGGGAGAGCCCGGGGTGGCAACGGCAGCAGTGGCAGGAAGAGCCCCCAGCCCTTAAAAGCACTTCCTGGATGCCAGGCCTGAACGGGCTGCTGTGCTCGGTTCCAGGAATCCCAGGACAGGGAGGACTTGAAGGAAGTTTTCCAAGCACAGGCCTTGCTCCGAGCAGGTCTGGGGGCCCCGCAGAGCCCTGGGGATCTGTGATGTGGTGCATCAGCGTCCGCATGTCACACACCAGGCGACTGAAAGCACAGAGCAGCCAAGTGACCTGCCCGGGGTAACCCAGCTGGAACAGAAACCCAGGCACACCGCGCCAGCGTCTGCCCCTGCCCCACGCCGTGCAGGGGACAGCGGCGCTGCCGACGGCTGTCGGTGCCCGACCCTGAGACAGCCGCAGGACGGGCTCTCCCTTCATCATCAGCAGAGCTCTGTCAGGCTGGGACGGGGCTCCACACTGCATCTTGGAGGAAACGTGGGGTCGGACAGATGCACTGACCTGCTGAGATCACACGATGAACAAGCGGCAGAGCCAGCCCGTGCTCCTCCCGCTGTCCCCTCTCCCGCTGTCCCCTCTCCCGCTGTCCCTTTCTCCCGCCGTCCCCCGTCCCATGGTCCCCCTCTCCCACCCTCCCAGTGCCTTGGGAATGAGGGAGAAGCAAGGTCACTATGGCCTGTCAGTATCAAGGCCTGGTGAGTGTGAAGGAAGTGAGCCACAGTCTAGGGTGTCCTGCCCCAGGGGCCTCAGCGTGCTCCCTCCTCGCCAAACGCTCCTCTGCCTACACTTGGCTTCCAGCAATGCCACCGCCTGAGTGCCCAGCAGGGGACACTACCTCCACCCCAGGCCCTCACCTGCCCCCACCTGTCCTCTCACGCTCACGCAGGTGTCCCAGTGTCTGCCGTGCTCCTGGAGACCCAGCCCCAGGGGGGGCCATGTGCTTGCAGGGGAACGTCTGGTCCTCGTCTGCTCTGTGGCTGAAGGCACAGAGGACACCACGTTCTCCTGGCACAGAGAGGACACGGGGGAGCGTCTGGGGAGCACGCGTCAGCGTTCCCAGAGAGCAGAGCTGGAGATCCCTGCTGTCGTGGGGAGTCACACGGGGTGGTACTACTGCACAGCAGACAACGGCCACAGCCTCGCCCGCAGCGGGGCCCTGAACGTCACCGTCACAGGTGAGTGGCGCTCTCCTAATTAGCCAGTGACTGAGCAGTCTCCTTCTGCGACAGTGAGGCTGTACCAAGGATGACGAGGGACAGGCCGTGAGGAGGTTAAGAAACTATCTGAACTCGGCCAGGTATCTGTGAGGTGGTGGGGCAGTGGCAGACGAGCTACAGGAGGGGGACAAAGGGACAAGAGGCGTCCCTCATGGGCTGGATGGACCCTGTGAGGACTTGGGACGAGGACAGCGTGGGCTGTAAGTCTGTGCAGCAGGAGAGACCCTCTCTGACGGTGGCCACCTGTCTCCCTCAGTCCCAGCGTCCTGCCCTGTCCTCACTCTCAGGGCACCCGGGACCCGGGCCGTGGTGGGGGACGTGGTGGAGTTTCACTGTGAGGCTCAGAGGGGCTCTCCCCCGATCCTGTACCGGTTTTACCATGAGGACGTCATCCTGGGGAGCAGCTGGGCCCCCTCTGGAGGAGGAGTGTCCTTCAACCTCTCTCTGACCGCAGAACATTCTGGAAAGTATGCCTGTGAGGCCAACAACGGCCTGGGGGCCCAGCGCAGTGAGACGGTGACCCTCAGTGTCACAGGTAGGACTTGTCTCTGTGTCCTAGAGGACCGGGGTGGTGATGCCAAGCGTCCTTTCTGCTGGACGATCCTGTTGTCGGGAATCTCGTCTTCAGCCCTTGGGCTCTGCTCTGCATGGGACATAACCGTCCTCACCCCAACCCCGGCCTGATGCTCCCGCAGGAGCGGAGCTAGTTCCTGTCTGCAGGGCTCTTGCTGGACCGGCTGCGCTGGTCTTGGGGAACTCGGGGCACGCAGGGGACAGGGGAGCCCTTCATGCACACAGCCCGTGGTGAGCGGGAGGTTCCACTTGCCTCTTCAGTACTCAGGAAACTGTGGAAAAACCGTGAACAAACAGACTCCACGATCCAAACCTTTAGCAGGCTTGTGTCACTCAGTCTCCGTAACGATGCTCGATCCACTGATGAGGAAATGGGCTTTACATCCGGTACCTTTCCCAGGTCGCTTGGCCGCTGGGCGCCCAGGGGGAGCTGGAGGCCGGGGTCAGGAAGCATAGCGGTGGTCACGGGACGTGTCCCCTCTAACGCATCACTGCGGAGACGTGCACGGCGGCGGTCCTGCTCTGGGAAGTCATCGGGTTCCTGCCGAGCCCTTCTTAGTCACCGGGTCCTCGTGGGCAGCAGTGACCTGACAGTCTGGTTTCGGTGTCAGGGAGAGGTTAGCCACAGAGGCGTGATTTCAGAAGCTCTGCGTGGTCGCCGTGCTGTGGCAGTTTTGTTTTCAACTGTTTTGTGTCGGGCTCACCTGCTGCTGGAGACGTGTCTGGAACCAGCGGCAGGGACTTCCAGAGCCTGGGAGATCTTGCCCCCAGTGTCACATGTGCTTTCCTACAAGTCTTTCCCAATTTTCTACCCTTTGTTAAAATAATTTGGAAGGTTTCACCCAATGAGTTGGGCATTTTGTCTAGATCTTCAAAATCATCACGTGCTCTGGGCCAGCCCTCCCACCCACTTTTCAGACTGCCTCCAGGGTCATGAGAACGCGTCCCCTTACTTCTTACTTCTACGTTTGCGCTACTTCCTTCCCGATTGGACCGGCCCACGAGGGTCTCTGTAATGGCTCTTTTTCAAGACTCGGGGGCACTTTTGTGACTCAGATCTATTTGGGTTCTGGTTTTCTAGCTCCTTTAGTTCTGGATCATCTTCTCCCCCACCTCCCGCACATCCTCCTCCTTTGGGCTTTAGGGTTATTTCATGTTGCTCCTTTGTTAAGTTCCCAAGTAAATAATTATTTATTCCTCCTCTTTATTTGCATGTCGTAAATGCATCTAAAACACATGTTTCTTCCAAGTACTTCTTTCGTCACCCCTTACAAGTTCTGATGTCTAACATTTTCACTTAATTTCTAAAGTATGTGGAATATGGGTTTTCATTTCTCTTATAACTGGGGACTTACAACTACGAATAGATTTCATTTTTATCCTTTAGTTCATTAATTTCTCAATAGATTTCTTCTTTGTCCTTGTGGTTAAACTTGATTGAACAACAGGGTTGCACGACATTTACTTTGGGGAACTAAGAATGTCTTCACGGCTTAACACACAGTTGTCATTTTTGTGGATGTTATATACGGAATTTGACTTTATTTAATTTATTTATGTATTTATTTATTTGAGAGAGAGAGCAAGGATGGGGAGGGACAGAGAGAGAGAGTGAATCCTCAGGCAGATTCCCACTGAACACAGTGTCCGGCACAGGGTTCGAGCCCATCACTCCAAGACCATGACCTGAGCTGAAACCAAGAGTCAGATGCTTACCCGACTGAACCGCTCAGGCGCTCCTCTATGTGGAATTTGAGAAGAACGTGAATTTTCTGTCTGGGATATACAAAGTTCGCTGTTTATTTTTCTATTTGATGAAGCCTGTTGTTATGTCGTCCGTCTTCACGGTGCCTTGCATACGCTCTGTCTTTTCAGTCTGTGAGTCTCTGAGAATCACGTTCACGTGGTACCTGTAATTCTCCCAGGTCTACTGTTTCTGCAGGGCCTCCGCTGTGAGTTTGGTAACTGACCGTGTCAGACGGCGCACTTTGGTTGCAAAGGATAGAGATAGAGATGCCATACAAACGGGTTTGGGCCAGAAAAAACAAGGGCCACAGGCAAGAGAGTGCCGACCACACGTGGCTTAGTGCGCGGCTGGCTCCTAGGGTCCCATCCTTCGCCTTCCCTCTTTCTGTTCTGTCTCTCCATCATTTTTGTCCTCAGAAGGGAGGCTGGTCCCTGACAGCTCTGGGCTCCATCCTTCCTCTCTGCTGCAAACCCTCCAGAAAAGGCCTCCTTACAGGTTGCTCCAGTTTGGAAAAACAAACAAAGAAATGGGCAGAGTGTGGGTTAACCTTGTGGCCTGTTCGTCCCCCGCTGCAGAACGAGCGGGCTTGGGGTGGGTGAGGACACCCACGGGGCGTGAAGCTGCTCTCAGAAGAAATGGGGCAGCTCAGGCCACCGGAATACCGGCGTCCCCAGGCTCCATCTGTAGGGAAGACCTAGTTCTAGCCTTCTCTCTGTTTCTCCAAGACCTTTCTGAGCTCTGGAGAATCAAACACAAATCCCTATGTCCCTACCTTCTGTGGTCTTCAGAATGCTCAGAATGCTCTTCCTAGGGGTCTTTAGGTGGGGGGCTGCCCTTGGAAGATGCATTCCCTACAGCAGCAAGCCCCCCCCCCCCACGAAACAGCCTCTCCCGTTTGCCTCCCACATTTCTGAGTGTGCTCCGACCCTGCGTTTGCAGAGCCTCCGCCCAAAATCCGCTTGGCGAACGGCGCCCACCGCTGCGAAGGACAGGTGGAGGAGGAACAGGACGGCCGCTGGGGCACCATGTGTGACGACGGCTGGGACATGGCGGACGTGGCCATGGTGTGCCAGGAGCTGGGCTGTGGAGCGGCCAAGCACACCCCCGCAGGTGCGCTGTACCTGCCCTTGGCAAAGGAGGACCAGTCCATGCTCATCCAAACGGCCCTGTGCTCAGGAGCGAGGTGGCCCTGGCTGAGTGTGAGCAGGTGGAGACCTTCGACTGCGACCACAGCAAGGACGCAGGGGCCGTGTGTGAAGGTGCGTGAGGGCAGGGCCTGGGCTGGGAACGGGCCATCCGGCCCTGATAGCCTCCTCTCCACTGTCCGCGGCCAGCTCTGGGCCACCCCACTGTCCGCCACAGCCGCCCCTCCTTCACGGCCACTTACCTGCTCTCCGTGGGACAGTGGTCAGGCTGTACATGAGGCTAGTCCAGGTCATACAGGGCTCTCCGGTGTGTTCTGTTGTTAGCCCATATCTGCCGTCTCAAGACCGAACACTGATGTTTCATGGCTGTGATTTGGGGCGCAATACTAGGGACAGGGTTATGAGGCCCCAGAATGTCAGCATATGAGTGACTTTAGCCCCGGCCACACGGCTGATACTGCTCTGTGATCCCACCACGGGTTCAGAGGCCTCTCCCCAAAACAACTCTGCTCATCAGAATCAGTCCCGGAGTCGGAGGCATGCCAGCTGGGACTGAGCCGGGGGCTGCTTCCGACCCGGGATTCCAATGGGACACGGGCCTGGGGAGGCAGGAGGGGAGTCGGAAAGACTCTGGGGCTATCAAGGAAATCAGGCCACAATCCGTCAAGGACAGAGCTCCCTGAAGTTAAAGAAAGCTGGGCACTGAGCCCAAAACCTCCACAGAGCTTGTGACTAGGTGGAGGCTTGTGGACCACTCGTCCAGTCCCAGCCCCAACTCTGCTGGAGCACCCCAACCCCTCGGGCTGGGAGTCAGGGAGCAGGGAGCCCTGTGGAGAGAAGTCTTCAGGAGCAGTTGACTGACGCCCAGGGTCAGGAGCATGTGAAGGCCTGTGGCTCATTCGGGGACATGGCATCAGCATTGGGCGTGGGAGGGATCCAGGATTTGGGGTCAGCTGTGTGGGGCTTCAGGCATGCCCCACCCCCACTCACCAGCCATACAAGTAGTAAACTTCTCTGACACTTGCGATCTCTCAGAGAAGTGGGACAACGCCTGGTCCAGCATTAGGACCCATCAAACTCTCACCCCTCATGCAGACCTTCCTGCTGGAAGGAGTCCCAGGCATGTCCAGACTGCATATTTAGGACGGTCTTTCCTGGAGGGTGGGTCTGGGGCTCAGGCTGGCCTTCTTCCTTCCTCTGGGCCTGACTTCTTCGGGGAGACCCCCTGATCTGTCTGGACAACCCCTTCTCGGATCATCCCCTCCTTACTACCTTTTTACTTTTCTCTGCAGCATTCTTGCCTCGTTTTTCTTGAAGACTGGCAGGTTTTTTCCTTTGGGCCTCAGCTCTGGATGGACCCGAACCTTTCACCTGTGGCCCCCAAGGCCACTCAGCAGGACTCCAAAGTGCCACCTACACTAGGGACTCCACCCCACCTGCATTCGAGGCCACACCCAGCTCCCAGAAGAACCAAACTTGGTGACACCCTGGCCCAGACCCCAGGTTTTCCAGCATCTTCCCAAAGATCTTTAGGGATCACAGTCTCCTTGGAGAGATGTGGCGGCTCCCGAGGACAGAACAACAAGGAATGAATGGAGACGGGCCCTACATCTGCTAGAAATGTGGGACTTTTCTTCCCATTCTTTTTTTTTTTTTTAAGATTTATTTATTTTAGAGAGAAAGAGAGAGCAAGTCGGGGAAGGGATGCGGTAAAGGGAGAGGATCTCAAGCAGATTCCGTGCTGACCAAGGAGCCTGACGTGGGGCTCGCTCTCACGACCCTGAGATCATGACTTGAGCCAAAATCAAGAGTCACACACTCAACCGACTGAGCCACCCAGGTGCCCCATCCTTTCCATTCTAAGCGTCCTGGGAAGAAACTAGCTCTTAAAAATTTTCTTCTTGAAACACTTCCTCAAGTTACAAATATAAAACACATTGACCGAAAAAGAAAAGAAAAATCAGCAGGATTCTAATATTTGGAAGCAACTGCTGTTAATATGCTGATTCTTCTAAAGCATTTTTATGAATATATGAGTATATTTGAGTGACGTACACTTCTGAGTTTATTGTACTGTAAACTACATATCACTATGCTGCTTATTAAATTTAACATTGCCGTGTTAACAGACATTTTATACACATGCGTGTGCGTGTGTGCACAGGTTTTAAACTAAGACGGCCCTCTCAAGAAGGACAATCCCGATTCAAAAATACCCTTTGTTCTGCTGTGTACCTCGATCGGGGTTGGGTCTGGGTGTGCAGAGTGAAGGTAAGAAACCAGGTGCTCCAGGTGGGGACCTGCCCTACCAGCCCCTCAACTTTGCTAATGTCTGAGTCTCAACACATATTTGAGTGGCTGGTTGTTTTTAGAAATGAGTAACTAAGTTTTGAATCTGGGTGGATATGTGGAGAAGAATATTGGGCATAAAATACATATATTCCAGACTAGATATCTATGTTGATAAGTAATTTACTGAGCCCATAATATGGGCTGGATTCGGCGTGTTATTTCCTTATATTGTTAGTAAAGCTTCAGAGGGTATATTGGTATTTTAACTGTGGTTGCATTAGGTTTGTGTTGAAATAAGAAGGTACCTTTAGGAGGATTTGGCATTTTTACAGAGTAATCTTCCAGCCAAAGGCCAAGCTATGTCACATCATTATTTAGATCTATCCGTAGAGTCAAAAAAAATTTTTTTTGATCCTTTAAGTTCTACCTATTTCTTGTCAATTTTATTTTTTGACTTTTTAAACGACGGGGCCCATTATCTAGAATTTTTATCCTATCATATTTGAGAGATGTTTGTTTTATTTTTTAAAAATACATTTATTTATTTTAGAGAGAGAGAGAGAGCACGAGCAGTGGGAGGGGCAGAGAGAGAGAGAGAGGGAGAGACAGAATCTCAAGCAAATTTCTGGCTGAATGCAGAGCCGAACGTGGTGCTCGATTCCACAGCCCTGATACCGTGAACTGAGTTGAAATCAAGAGTCAGACGTTTAACAGACGGAGCCCCCCAGGTACCCCCTAGATATGTATTTTACTATGTCGTGAATTACTGGGTTTTACCAGCTGGTTGTGGACCCGGCTTGCACAGAATTCTCTTGTCATCGCTGACACCGCCATTTACTCTTCTCAGGTCTCTGGGTGTGCCGTCCTGTCGGCAGAGGGGACACTCCTGCTTCCTTCTGCTTACGCTGGTCACATGTCTCCGTCTCCCCGTGGAAGCACTGCCCAGAACAACATTAAGTACCGTGAGGATACGAGGCGTCTTAGCTTTGTTCCCAAATGTAACTACTGTGCTGTGTGCGCTTCACCATCAGCCATGGGGCTGGCTTTTAATTTAGGATATACACACTTATGACATCAAGAAATTACCTTCTGCCTGAAATTAGTAAGAATTTTATTTACTGTTTAATCCGAAGTAGATGTTTAATTTTTAAATATCTTTCTGTTACCCTTTAACTTAATATGATGAATTACTTTAGCAGACGCTTTAATAATGATCAGTTCTCACAACTCTCCTTGCCCGTGGTGTGTGTTAATTCCCTGCCGAAACTCCACGTGATGCCCTCTATGGGGGATTTTGCATAGGTGTTCGTAATGAGGGTTTGGTTGTAGCTTTTGATTCTTTCCGTGGAAAGCTTTCATGGCAATGCTGTGCCGGTTTCTTGCGCTGTGTTTCGATGACAGTTTTATTTTCTTCTTTGACCTCAAAGCTGAATTAAAGCAGGGTTTAAAGAAAAAAAAGTACATCATGAAAGGATTGTCTCCCTCATTTTGTGATTTGTAAAATAAATAGTATTCATGATTTTTAAAGTGTCCTTTGGGACCTCAGACATGATCAGGTTTTATGGATCATCTACGAGGACTGAACAGAGAGCGGGTTCTCTGTCCCCAAGATCGAGAGTTCGGCATGTTCTCCTTGGGGTCTCCCTCCTCATCTCACCATTCGGGTCTTGCGCATCCTCAGTGTTGGTCAGCCGTGGACCCGCAAGGTCTCCCTGCACTGGTCTGTTTCCACTCCCAGCGGTCCACGGGTCAGCGTGTGGATGCCGTGGTCTGTGGCTCTAGTGGTGCGTGAGCTCAGAGCTTCCCCGTCACAGCAGGCTCTTCCCTGGCCCTCAGGCTCCTGCCTCCACGAGCCTCCGTAATTCTTCCACTTCTGACTTTCCAAGCCACTTCCCTCTGTGCAAGTCCCTGCCATGTGATGTTCGGAATTCAGGGCTGAGCTTTGGTATTGCACAAATACAAAATTCTCTCTCTTTTTTTTTTAAGGCTTGTTTATTCTATATTACATTTTCTCTTCCTAAAGCTTCTTTCCTTTTTTGTTGTATTTTGTTTTCCTCCCTCTTCACTGGGCAGCTCAGGGGCAGAGTTCATCCCTCATGGCTCACTCCCAGTGTTGGCCACACCGACTTTCTCCAGTTTTCTTTGTTTATAGTCTGGATCTCTAGTTCCTATCCCCACCCCTGCCTCAACATCCAGCCATTCTCATGTATTTGGGGACTTCCCTTCATTTAAATGTATGATTTTCTGTGAACCTTGATTTTTTATTTATGTAAGGAATGGCACTGTTTTTCACTCGGTGCTCTCTTTTGGCCTATCCATGTGGCTGTGTGTATCTCTAGTCCGCTGCTCCTAACTTCTGCACATTGGCTCCCGCTGTCTCCTTATCTGGTCCCCCAGATATGGACACCTACATTACCCCCAACTTGTCGCTACTTCAGACTCTGACAATCTCCAACAAACCCCTCTTTCTTGTCCTGCCTCAGACCATGGGAGAATTTCTCTGGATACATACCCAGGAGTGGACCTCAAGCAATAAAGAAAGCTAGGTGGTCCTCTGAATTGTGATGGCTCCCAACAGTGTAAGCACGTTCCCTAGCCCGACATTCCAGGCAAAACTTGGTGTTATTTAGTGTTTTCATTTTGCCAATTCAATGGACCTAAAGAGAGATCTCACGGTGTTCTTGTTCCATTTTTCTTGTTCCATAATTATCAGTAACTAAGTATTTTGGGGACTTCCTCTTCCATGAAATAATAGTTTGCCCGTTTCCTTAGTGTTATTTTTGTCTTTCTCTAGTTGGTATCCACGAGTTACTGCTTTCCTTAAGTAAGTCCTTTGCTTGTTCCCTACTTTGCGAATGTTACCTTCCATTCTGTTGCCGTCGGCTTTGTCCAAATGGTCTTTCACTGAGCAGGATTTTTTGTTTTCAAGCAAATTCATTAGTTTTTTCATCTTTTAATTTGCGTTTGTGTAAGAAGCCCTTCCCAACCCCAAAGTCACGATGAAAACCTCCTAGAGTATCTTCCCTTGATTTTATAGTCTGTTTGTTTTTCACGGATCAGGTCTACCAGAGTCCAACTTTACATTTGATATTAAGTATAGATCTGACTTTTTTCCCTCCGGAGAGTAGGTTCAACATTATGTACTAAAGACGTCATCCACTCCCATTATCTGGTGGGGTCAACTTTCAGTTTCCATACGTACATGGGGCCTGCTTAGGATCTCTCTGTTTTGTTCCTTGTTTTGCTTGATTTTACACATATATTATACCGCCTTTATTGTTCTGGCCTTCCAATATCTGATAACATAAGACCCTTCCTTGTTCTTCTTTGTCAAAGTTATCTTTGTGTCCAAAAATGTTTACCAAAGTCTTTTATAGATTTTTATTATTCTATAAAAATGTTAGAGTAGGTATATAGAATTGCTCAAATTGTCCAAATGGGATTTTTATGGGGATTTTACTGAATTTATAGATTAATTGGAGAGAGGCAAGGGTGGCGAGCCCTCCCACATCCCCAGTCATCTTAGGTGTCGGCCTGTTTGGTAGGTAGAGCAGGTCAGCTTATTCTTAGTACCTGCCATGGTAGCTTTCAACCTGGCACATGATTCTGGCACACGATCCTTTGCTCCTCTTGGGGGAGGCCACCAGAAACATCTGCAGTGGTTGCTCACGGTCCTACCTCAGAGCCAAACCAACAGGACACGTGGTCACCTTCTCTATTCCATAGGGCATCATACTGTCCCACAGAGGCCCATCAGCTGGCCACAGAGGCTACAAGGAGTGGTACCCAACACCATGTGGAGAACAGCTGGGAGCCACAGTTCACAAAACAGGAGGACTACAGGAGAAAGACAGACAGGATAGACTAGGGCAGAGAGGAGACAGTGGCATGGAGATGCTTTTGGGCTTGAGATAAGTATGGAAACATGAGAAGAAAGAGGGATTGAAGACCCTCAAGGGTGTCCTTCACATGAGGGTTAGTATCCTACAGTATCCTCCCCACAATGTCTACCCGGTGAGCCCCAGGCACATGCCCAATGATGTCACCACATTTGCTCACACTCACCCTCCTGGGGAAATTGGAGTTTCTGAAATGAGTTCCGGTATCTGGAGACCATATGTTCCTAAGCAGGGAGGCAAGGTTCTGCCCCTTCCACAGAAATATGCTCAAAATTGATTCTCCTTTTGTGCAGTGGATGCTGGGAAGTGTCACCCAACTCCTGTGTCAGAATGCAGGACTGATTCCCCCGTTGCTGAGGTTTCCACCTGCAGAGTGCTCAGTCATCAGCCCTCTTTGGAACGTGCCTTGACCGTGTCATTCAAGATCACTGTCCTTTCCCATAGCAGTTCATCCAAAGGCTGGAGAACATGGGGCATGAGAGCAAGGCTCCTTTACACGACTCAAGGCCACTCTGAGAGATTGTCCCAGCCTCAGGTTGTCTCTGGGATTGGCTGAGATCTTCACAGAGATGCTTCCAAGCTGACCGTCTGCTCCTCCCTCTGCACAAGCTTGTTCCCTTCCCATGATAATTCTCGACGCTGAGACCACTCCCTAATAAATTTCCTACATGCTACTTTCCATGTGAGGGAATGCAGCACTGGGACATCTTGTACTCAATCTGTGATCCCCATGTGATCTCTGTGTCCTCCTCCAACAACCATTCTCTAAGGCCCCCTCCCCAGAGCAGGGGAAATTTGGCTGTGGTCTCAGGAAATGACACATGTTCCATGTCCAGAGCAGCAGACAGAAGTTCTGGGAAGGAGCACCCCATATTTCTAGAGGGTGAACCATTGATCCCTGTTAAGAGGGAGAATGATGTGGCACATCCAACCACCCTAATTTTAGTGGGTGGGTAAATAACACAATGAGAAGTCCACTTCCATTCACTCATCTCAATTCCCAAACCAGGGTCAGTGTCCCCAGTGGGTCATAAGAATATTTCAGTGAGGACCCAGAGACTGGTCCTACAGATCTCAGTTAGCTACTTGTTGTGGTGGACTTGTGAAAGGATCGCTCTTTGGTGCTACTGTTGTTGGGTATGGTGACAGCAAGGAAGGTACTGAAGGCACCGGGAAGACTACCATGTGGAAGCTATGGACATCCAGGACTCAGGATGATTGTATAGAAGAATGGTGTCTGAAGTTCTTCCCAAAAGCCTAGGGGTGCTCCTTCTGGGTGCAAAGTCAGGACTGTGGGATGTTGCATATTAAGAGCTGACTGCTGACCTAGCCTAACCCTCTTAGGCAGGTAGTAGAGGGATGGACAGTGTATTTGTAGAAGCAGCAGGGACCTCCTCTGATGGCTCCTTTGTCTCTGTCATGGCCAAGGTCACATTCTGTCATAACCCTCAGGGCTTCTGACATCCAGAATGACACAGGGGACATAGTAGAGCCCCACAACAGGCCTAAAGAGGGTCTCGCACAATTCTGTATGACAAGAACGTCACTCTGTGGAGTGTGGCAGCATCTCATGGGGGAGCATCCTTCAACCTCTCTCTGACCACAGAGCACTCCCCTGGTTGACCTGTGGGGAGTGGCAGTGTGGAGGTGATGGCTTTTCTGTGAGCAGGCAGGAGACAGAGAGAATGAGCAACATCTCTCCCCACCTGGCCCTCTGGAAACACCTGCGTGGTGCTCAGGGGGTCAAGGTGCTCAGTTCCTCACAGACTCGATTCCTCTGTCCTGCAGGGAGGCTTGGTCCAATGAGCAGCACTTTCTGGCACATCTGTAGATGAGGCACAACAAATTCTTATGGAGTTGGGAGTGGGGCGGGACATCTACAGCCCATCTTGGGCCCCTGATGGGGTATATTCTCTGCAGCGAAGAAAGCCAAGATTCTCCAGTCCATCCCAGCACCTGCTGTGGGACACTGATACCCACGCTGAGCCCAGTCCTGGGGTAGGACATTTACGATGTTGGGCAATCACTTCTGATCTGGGCACGACTGACGAATCCCAGGAACGGATGTGGGCTGTGGGAAAGACCCGAGACAGAGAGGGAGCTCAGAAAGCCAAGAGGTTATTAAGTGTCTGGGAAAAATAAACTGGAAGTCAGTGTGGTTTAGCCTCATGTAGGTGGGAGCCCCACCTAAACAGACAGACTGACAGCCTCGCCCTGTGTTGGTCAGCCTGCGGAAAGCCTTAAAACCCGAACAACAGTTCTCATCTGCTCCTCTGCCCCTTCCTTCCCTGCATCTTCCAAGCAGAGCTGCCATTAGAGTTAGAAGTGTTTGTGACTCGGGAAGGCCTGGGTTTGGCAGTGAGGCAGAGACAATGAAGGGGACAGAGCCCCGGGACTTTTGTCCCAGCTCTGGAAGGGGCAGAAGCCCAATCAATATACCCCGTAGGACAGCCGTTCCTACCAGTGGGCTAGCGCTCCTCCAGCTGGAGCTTCTCTTTAAAGGACAGCGTGTCACGGTGAGAACTTCCCTGCCCGTCAGGGGTGGGGTGGAGTACGTTCCAGCCCCGCACCTCTGCCATGGCTCAAACCCCCTCTCTGACTAAGCGACACTCCTGTTTGCAGCAGAAGAGGGCCCTGTGCCCCAGTTCACGGTCTCCAGAAATTCGGCGCTACTAGGTCCCGTGAGAGCGCAGACCCCCAGGATGCCCCCACCCCATTCCTGCGCTGGCCGTCACAGCCTATAACCAGGGAGTGGGGAGATTCCGGCCCATGCCTGGTGTGTCGACTGTCTAGTTGAGCAATCCATCCACAAGGGCTGTGGCCACTATTCAGCCCAACACTGACACCATCTGGATAAAAACAGGAACAAACCATAGTTGCCCAAGGGCTGAGCTCAGAGTGGTCTGGCTAGTGATCACTCGTGAGCCCTGGCCATGAGTCCTTCGCCCAGATGGTTGGGCTGTTCTAGAGAGATGAGCCCCGTGGCTTGGACAATGGGAAGGTGAGGGGTGGTTAATCCTGAGTGGACCCTTACGGGATCAGGATGTATGGGGGACATTTGAGTTTGTCTGCAAGAGCCTCAGGTGGTCCCTGCTGTCTTCCATGTCTGGTTCATAAGCCACGGGCACCCCAAGCAATCAGAAAGGTGATGCCCTAGCTTCGGGATGAGCCCTAGCAACTGACTGTTTAGTAGACACAGCGACTGGATGCCCAGGGAGTGGTCACCCTGGTACCCAGGTGGGTGACTTATATCCAAAGATGCCACCTGCCCTTGAAAGAGGAGGACCCAGTTAATGTGGTAAGAGCATGCTCTGTGTGTGCTAAACATCACCCAAGGCCACTGCCAGAGGGGTCTGGGGCCACTCACCAGAGTTCCCAACCTGTGAGGGACTGGCAGATTGATTATGGCAGCCGCCTCCCTCTGCATGAGTGATCTAGATATGCCTCGGTTTGTGAGGACGACACTCCTGGCCTCGCCAAGCTTCCCCGTCTCCACGCCATCATCATCAGGAGATTAGAGAAGCTGAGCACCACGTATGGATGTCCTTGTCAAGTAGACAGCGATGGGGCTGCATTTCCAAGGTCATGATGTGCAAGACTGGGCAAACGAACTTGACTTTGAATGGAGGGCCTTTCACCTACAAACCAGAAGCAGCAGGGCTAATGGAAAGGAAGAATGGAACATTAATGCAGCAGATTAAATTAGCAATAGGTAAAACCACCTTGGCAGGATGGACTACAGTGCTGTCCAGGCTTTAACACATTTAAATGATCAATCAGAAGGACCGACCGCCCCCCATGCCAGACACCCAACAGCATGAAGGTGTTGAAGTCACAGGATACAGCTGTTGTCCCCACTCCCACCATGCATCAATGTTCCAAGCTGGTGAAAGCACCAAGCCCCATCACACCTGGGAAAGGAGTCCTCTGCTGGAATTTGCAAGTAGACATCCTACTGGGATGGGTGAGTTTCTGCCCACTCCTGGGCAAGGGAGAATCATTCAGGCTCCCTGGGATCCCACTGTCCTGTCACAAGCCAGACCTGTTGAAATGTACCATACCTAGAATGGAGCATGCATAAGTAGAAGAGAGGAGCAGGAGGGGGTCCTGGTCTGCTATATCCACACCCCAGTCCTCCTCATGCCTGACTGTGCTACCTCTTCCAGCCAGCATGCACGGTATATACAACCAGGTCAAGTTGTACAACAGCCAACTTCCCTTTCCTCAAGGCCACTGTTGGGGGAGTGTTCTGTTTCCTAGTGATTCGATCATTTGTCCACCATCTTTGTTCCCTCCATTGACCTGGAGGACATTGTAGCCCACATAGAAGCCCTTCCTAAATTCACCCAGCAAGACTTAAATGATAACCAATAAACTCTGTCCTTACTGAACGCTGAGAGGACTCTAAGGAGAAAGGCTGTCGTCCAAGTAAGATGGCCTTGGACATTATTGCTGCCTCGCAGGGAGGCACCTGCGCCATTATCTAAGCAGAATGTTGTGTGCTTATACCTGATGAGTGAGCTAATGTCTCATCTTTATTGAGAGGCATGAAGACACACATGAACACCCTGAGTGACCCAACCCCCAGCCTAGGGGACATGACAAATCAATAGTTCAGATCCTGGGGCTCTTGGTGGAGGAAGTTGCCCTGATTCTGGCCATTATTGTCTTAATCAGCGTTTTCTCTTGCGTATGCCTGTGTTGCTCCTGAGGCATCTGCCCCCGCTGTATCCAGGGAACCACCAAAGGAGCCACCTCCAGGCCAGTGAAACCTCTTGGTGACGCCTCAGGACCCCTTGCAGAAGGAGGGGCAGCGTGAGATTAAGAGCCCTGGCCATGGACCGTCACTGAGCCACCAGAAGGGATGAATGCACCACTCACATCCACGTGGATGAACCGGAGGGGACTGAGCTGAGCAATATAAGTCAGTCAGAGAAAGGCAATTATCATATGCTCTCACTCATACATGCAATTTAAGAAACAGAGCAGAGGATCATGGGGAAGGGACGAAAAACTGAGCGGGAAGAAATCAGAAAGGGAGACAACCATGAGAGACTCTGGACTCTGGGAAACAAATTAACGGGGAGCACTGGGGGTTCTAGGCAACGGATAAATCATTGTACCACATCTGATCCGAAACTAAGGAATATACTATCTGTTGGCTAACTAAATTTGAATTTTAATAAACAAAATAAAATAAAACATAATAAAATGAAATAAGCACTGGTCACGAGGGGTAGAGCGTTGGGGAACGCCGTCACACAGATATGGTGCCGGTTGACCCCCGAGCAGGACCAGGTGATCGAGGCTCCTCATCCCCTCCTATGTTCCAGGAATGTGGGTTCTGCTTGCCTTCCCTGCTCCCAGAGGCTGCCCCGAGGACACAGCCTTGGGATAGTGACGTGGCACTGAGCACCTGCGGGTGTATGGGACCGACCCCGTCAGGACCACTATATAAACTTCCAAGATGCTTCCAGGCAGGTGCCGGAATCCCCTCAACTTCCTGCTGCCCAGGACAAGCCTCACAAGGAGGTTTTCTTTGCTTATTAAACCTCTCACCTCCCAACCTGGCATGGCTGCCTTTCTCGGGTCTCTCCCAGCCCTCAGAGTGTGGGGCCGGTTTCAGATTACACGTGAGCAGCTCCGCAGGAGGTCGTGAATCCACAGCAGCGACACTCTTCGTCACTGGTTGCCTGGTCCTGACCCACGAGCCCCAGGCCACTGACGCAATTTCCACCCTCGTGGCTTAGAGCTCCTGTTTATTCCAGAGCACGCAGCAGCCCTGGGGTGAGTTACGTGGGTGTGTGACGTTCAAGACAGGATTTCTCAGCATAGCGATTCTCAAAAAGCTTCGGTGGCTGTGCCTCCTGTGTCACTGGGTCTCAAGTAAGACACAGAGGCACCAGACAGTATATGCAGTAAGAGGTGGTGCTGAAGGGATTTGGCGTTGCACAACTGCGGGAACAGCCATGGCGGTGGGAGACTGGATGGGTGTCCGTCTGGTGCGGCAGCCACACGTCCACACAGCAGGTGGCCAGGGGACCGCAGGAGCCAGCGGGACCCACGAGGATGAGCTGGGGTCTGCACTAGCCTCCCGGCACCGCCGCCAGCCACTTTGATGAGAGAGCCCCTCAGCTCACTGTGAGCCCCGGAGTCGGGACAGCTGAGGGGGAGGTCCGAGGAAGCCAGTGGATGAACTCCAGGAGAGAGGAGCAGAACCGAGCCTCAGGGCCGCTACACCCCTCCGAGCCAAAGAAGAACACAGCCACTTCTCCATGTCCTCCTTCCAAATCCTGCACACACCTCTCCCGTGGCCCATGCTGGGCTGGACCCGTGCAGAGCAGGGCGTTGAGGGAGCAGAGTCCCTGTCCAGCCCAGTGACACAATGCCTCTGTCCCCACCTCCCGTCCTAGCCCCCTGCCCCTGAACTGGGGATGTGACCACATTGTCATCAAGTTTTGTTAGCCAGAGAGACTTGGGGCCGCAGCGAACTCCACCGGCCGTGTGTCTTCAGGACGATGACCTCATCCCATCGGGCCCTTCTCTCCTTCTTCGGTGACGTGGGGAGGTTCGCTCCTGTCTTGTTAAAGTGGCCTGGGGGAGATTGTGAAGAGGGGAACCCACCCTCCAAAACATCAGTTCTCCCCTTTTCCATGGATTACTGACTCTCCTAGATCCACTGGAGGAAAGATGACATCATATCCTTGTTATGCGATACCTGTTGCCCCTTCCTCCTGACGGCATCTCACGACTTCACTGTAGCCTGGGGGACAATAGAAGACATGTCCTGCATCATACAGAGGTCCTGCCCCAACCACAGACCTTCCAAAGGCAAGGCTCAAGCTGAGCCAGAGAGTCCGTGTCCCGTGGGCCCCCGCGCCCCCCGGACATCCCGCCGTGGCTGGGTCCTTGCTGCCTGTGGGGGGTCTAGACACGCAGTCATCCTCCCTGGGCCTTTGGTGGACACCTCTCTCCTGGGACTGCTTGTTCTCCATTCCGGCTGCCCTCTGGAATGATGAGGACGAGAAAGTGCAGCTGCCTGGGTCCTCCTTCCAAACCCTCTAGGAGTTTGGGGCGATGCGTGGAAATCAAGATTTTTAAATTCAAATTATTCCCCAGGTAATTCTAATACTCAGACAACCTGAAACTGCCCCAGTGAGATCATACAGGTCCCCCCATGGACTCCTGACCCCGAGAAGGGATGTGGGCTCGTCATTACGACGCACCTGTGTGTCACTGGTACTCTGATTTTCTTTGGGCCCAGAGGAAAGAGTGAGGGGTAAATCCTATTGGGTTTTGCATTCGTTTGCTAGGATTGCCATAACCCAGCCACAGCCTGGGGGCTTCAACTACACAAATGTGTTTTCTCTCAGTTCTGGAGGCTGGAAGCCCGAGATCCAGATGGGCCCTTGCCTGCGGCCTCTGCCCTTGACCTGCACACGGCGTCCTCTTTCTGGTAGACTGAGTGTAGCTACAGGTGGCTGCTGCCCTCAGGCCCGCACCTGCCTTCTCCCTGCACCGAAGGACAAGGTGGGCATCACACACCGATTCCCGTCCCTCCTAACTCTGCAAGCAACAGACACTCAAAGGGAAGTGATATTCTCAGGGTTAACCTTCTGCCGGGATGCTCCGAACTGACCCATCCACGACCACCCCATCCACGGCCACCCCATCCACGGTCGCCCCATCCACGGCCACCCCCTTGGAGCTGCTGATACTGAACTTCGAAGATACCCTGTGTGTGGCCTGAGGGTAGACGATCAGAGACGAGTCAGCCGAGATCTTCACTCTGGGGGGGGCTTCACCATCTGGGGTGACACACACACACGCATGAACACGTACGATCCTGAACCCCGTGCTCAGAACCCCGGATGTGTGATTTATTGTGACAGATGGCAGAAGGTACTGAAGTTTATAAAATTACCTGAAATCGTGGCCTCTGTGGCATCCCGTGTGCCCACACTGGGACAGGCAACCCTAACCCCACCAGCACGACTACTCCCTGCATCAGAGTCTGAGACAGTGGGCGAGGACTCACACTATGGTCCACCTCCCCCACTGGTCACTGCTCCTCAAAAGGGACACTTAAGACAGAATAAGGCACAGTTCAGTAGATGGGAGATCAGGAACAGGATGGTACCACTTGAGATGAGCAGGAGAAGCCCAGAGGTAGAAAAAGTCACAACCTGTCTAGAGAATGTTATGGATGGAATTGTGTCCCCAAATTCATATGTTGAAGCCATAACCCCCAGCATAACTGTATTTGGAGACAGGACCTTTAATGAGGTGATTCAGAGTAAATGAAGGTCATAAGGGTAGGGCCCTGGCCGTCAGGCACCAGGAGCGGGCTCACACAGCAGCGGCCCTGAGGGCATGAGTGGAGAGGGCTGTCCTCGGACCAGGAAGAGAGACCTCCCCAGAAACCACCCTGCCGGCACCTTGATCGTGGACGTCCAGCCCCAGTGTGCTGTTCCACACGGCAGCCCGGGCTGACCAACACACAGGAACGTGTAAGCTGAGAGAGACGCTGGGAAGAAACTTGGAACCCGACTCTAAGGGACACCATGTGCTCCAGTAAAAACTGTCACTTTGCGGGTGACAGGAAACCACGGGAGGCAGGTGAGGGGTTAAGGAACGCTGGCCATCCCCTCGTGTGCATGCCCCGCTGCTGGGCATGTGCGTGAGAGTCTGAGGAGCAGACCGACTGAGGAGGAGGTGGGGAGAGGCACCTTCCCGGGCCTGGACCAGCCCCACTAAGTCCACATGCCCTGGCCGGCCACCACGCCCTCACCCGCAAGTCACCACCAGGGCAGTGTGAATAAGAAATGCAATGGATTGCTGAGCAGTCGGGCGTCCAACCTCAGTGCAGCTTAGGGATGGGTCAGCAAACAGTGGGCACAGCAGTGTCCCTCCACCTCGGAGGATAGCCAGGAGCCCTGCGTCCTGTACTTCACCAAAGTGTCAGACCCACCCGGTGTGTGAGGCATCCTGGGGAGAAGAGACCCCCTCTGAGAAGGTCATGCCCAAACTTCATGACTGAAAGGGAGACACAGGTGTCTTTTCTGTAACTGCCAGCATCCAGAAAGGCCATCGTCCTAGCCCACTCTTGCTCACACAAATGTCTCTGCGGTGTCCTACCCCCTGAGCACGATCTGGGGAGCAGAACGGTTTCCGAGTCCGACAACGTTCGGATCAACGGGAGCTCTGGAACCTGCAGACTGAGCTGCGGTTCGCCCCGCCAAAGCTCCCCGTGCAAGCTCTTGTCCTTCAGAAGCAGACTGCCAGGGTCACCCTGAGCTGGTTCTGGGAGCCAGGACCCAGAGGCCCCCCAATATGCCACTGTCCTCCTCCAGCCTGTCACCGTTGAGGGATCCTGGGCTCACAAGAGCCAGTGACCAATGGAAATCACAGCAAAGAGAACATCCCACGCAAGGATAATTGCATTTTGATGGAGAAGTTACAAGGGGAGCCCAGAGCTGCTAGCGGGTCCAAAGGGAAAAAGTTCTCATGGAATCTGAATATTGAAGCAGGAAGGGATTTTGGAGATAAACGTGGTCAAGAATCCCCACCTTTGTGGGTAGACAGTGCTCACCCTGAAAGCAGGGTGAAGGACGATGGAAGGGACAAGAAGATGTACACGGGGCTTTGAAGGCAGCAAACCTCCCCATGAAGGACCCTTTGAACTGGCAGGTGCTTCTGAGGGTCCCCCATCATGGTGGCTACCAGCCGGCAACACCACCATCAAGGACCCTTGGTCAAGTGTGATCCCCTTTTTGTTGATGAGGAGAACTGGGGGTCAGGGGCATGAAGTCACTTGGCCAAGCTCACCTGTTTGCTGGTGACAGAGCTGGCACTAGCTTCTGGAACATCTCGTGTTTCTAGCATTAGAATATTTCTGACTATTTAATTGTGCATGTCTTTACCACCGGACTGCAAGCTTTATACAGGTGCTGTCACATCTGTCTTCTTCGCAGCAGCCCCTGCCCCCAGCAGAGTCCCCGGAGCATGGCAGAACACTCGGTAAATACTTGTTGCCTTACTCACTAGACTGTGAGCTTCGTGAGGACAGAACAACCGCCAGCGTTTGGTAAGAGCTGACGGGTGCCAGGCACGCTCAAAGCAGTTTTCTTTGTGCGTTGTTTAAGCCCCAGAGCCCTGAGCCACTTTCCCCATCATCTTCGCCCACTTAGAGAAGACAACGCAGCCCAGAAAGATTAAGTAAATTGCCGGGATCACAGGGGAAGGGGCAGCCCTGTACCTCTTCCTATCCCAGTGCCCGCTTCCCCCACACCCTGCCTCTCCACGCGTCTCCTTGGATCCCCAGCCTCGAGGTGCTGACACAGGGACGGCACCCGGTCCGCGTTCCAGAACTAGGGTCACGCCAGCCACTGGGAGCGCACGTCCACGACGGCTCCTGCTCAGGCAGCAGGCCCTCGGAGCCACACAGGTGGACGTAGTCCCAGCCTGAGCAAGGCTCCCTGTCCCTCTGGCTGAGAGGAGGGCCAGGTGGGCTCTTCCCTCTCCCAGCGGAGCCCCCGACTCTCCTGAGAGAGTGTCCAGGCTGTAGGGAGGGAATGCCCCCTGCTGACAGGGTCAGGCACTTGTTCAGTGTTGCAGGGACAGCAGGGAGAAGGGGTCGCCGGCGCTGGCTACCGGACACTTCTCCCGTGGCTATGTGGAACGCGGATCAAGTTCAAGGAGAGCCGGGTGAGCACAGAGGCCTGAGCAGCAAACACCTTAGCCTGCGTCTCCTCCGGCTCACGTGCCCCCTTGGCCATCGGCCGCCTCCTCCTTCTCCTCCCACTACCGGGTCTGTGTCAAACGCACCCCCACATAGATCGCATCACCTGGTGTTGAGTGTCATTGACCCCGGAGACAACGGCCTGCTTGTCAGAGGGGTGGCCAGGGTCTCTGGTGAATGAGGCTCGCGTGCAGCTGCAGAACGGGCATCGTAGGCTGCCAGGGAGGGCAGGTCTCCTGGCCTCCTGTGTGCTGGCCAGGAGTCCTGTGACAGCCATGGGGGCACTGCCAAACGTCCCTTCAGGAGACAGCCCGGCCAGGGGGCGGTCAGTGGGCAGCCTCCCACTGCAGCACCTCTAGGACCCCTTGTCGACGGAAACTGTGCCCCCTCCCCGGGCAGCTGCAGCTAGGGAGCACGGCAGGGGCGCTGCTGATCCTGGACGGCGCACCACCGAGCCGTGGCCTCAGGACGCCCAAAGACGTTGCCTTTCTGCGTCTCTGGTTCTTGTACCCAGTGAGAGTGTCGGCCGCCCGGGCTGACAGGAGAGCTGGGCTGTGACAGCCTGGAGAAGGGGCCGTTACTATTTACGCTACCGTGTAAAGCAATGGGGAATTTTATCCCCTAGAATTCCCAAAGGTGCCCATGGAACTCTGCCTCCCAGGACACGGTGCAGCACGAAGGTCACGGGCCTGCAGGGGTGTGTGTGAGAGACCGGCCGGAGGAACCCACTCGGGAGAGGCCTAAAAGGGCAGAGAAGAGCACAGGCGAGCCCCGCAGACTCAGGCAGAAAGCGAGGGGTATGGAGCAGAGAGAGAAGGAAGAAGGAGTCACGGACCCAGTGCCCGGCAAGGGAGGCGCAGAGGAGGCTGCCCCGGAAGCACGTTGGCGCCCCGGAAGCCCCTGGTTGACGTCTGAGACGCTTCAGCTGCGTTGTTCTAGCAGCCTGCTGTTTCTTAAAATGGGACTTGGCCCAGAGTAACACTCAGTCACATTTTGTGTGGCTCCCTCCTCCCTTGTGCCCCGAGGGCTCACTGAGAACCGTGGTCCCACCGTCACACCAGGTGCGCTCAGCTGCGGAGACCTAACTCGGTGACCAGCGTCACGCTGGAATCTGGTCCGCGAGGCACGATTACGCCCGTCTGACTGTCACGCGCTCAGCTGTCCGGGCCGCCACGACACAAGGGTGGCTCACACGCGCCAGGGTAAACAGACAGGTAAGGAGCACCTGCTGCGTGCCTGGCCCCGGGCGCTCAGCGCCACGCTCCTCGCTTAGGCTTCGGGTCGGCGGACTGTCGTCTGGGCTCAGAGTCCATCAGGTGCCACTCAAGCAGGATGCTGCTAAAAGGGACCGTTAACAGAGTCAAGATCTTTCACGGGTCCTTTCCAGCCCCGGTTCCAGCCTTCTGTCTGCCTCTGGCTGAATGAGGTTTCTGAAAAAGTGTTCTAAGGGAGAGGGTCTGCTGTTAGGATGCCTCGTTTACTTAAAACCAATGAGTTCGTACATAAGAACATAAGACGGCTGTTCAGTGCAACGTTGTCTATAACAGGGAAGAACCCGAAACAGTGAAATGTCCATGAGGCGCCTCGTAAATACTTCGCCACGCACCGATACAGTCACTTAGACAATTCCTCCCAAATATCCACACTGCTTGGGATAAAGGGGTTTATGCCACGGCAGGATAAGGAACGCAGGCACATTCAGGTTCCCCAACCTGTCGTAAGACATTCAGCAGCAACGAAGAAATGCAAAATCTGAAAAAGGAAGAAGCAGCAGCACTGTTGCTGTACAAGGCAGTTCTAAAAACCCTGGTTTCAGACCCGCTTGCTCACGTAAGAGAACGAAAAGAGAAATGTGTGAGGAAATAAAGATACATTTAAACAACAACAGAAAAGTGGATCTGTGTGTAATGATGAAGAAATATGCCCACGATATAATGTTTTGCCTGGTAAGGAAAGCAAATGGCAGCACAATATGTCTGGAAAAATCCCATTTGCTTCATTAAATGATAGATGTCGCCTTTAGGCTTCAGCTTGAGCCCCAGAACTGAGAACAGTAGGTGGTGAAGATCCTACATTCTAAGACGAGGTGCCAACTCGGTTTGCAGAACTGAGGAGAAGATGGCAAAACCTGTCCTGCAGCCCAGGCCTGCCCAGCTGTAGCCACACTTGCCCTGCAGCCACACATGCCCAACCACAGCCTAGAAAGGAAAAGACCAGCTCCTGACGGGGAGTTTCAGGTTGCTCATATGAGTAGGGTCCTATCATGTTTTTCTTTCCCCCATTAGAAGCCAACAAATGAAAGACCCAAGAGGATAACTCACAAAGATTGGGGGTTCCCCCAGGACATGAAGCCTGGCTACTCACCCCCTTGCTGAATACTGGCTGGACGTGGACCCCCGCAGGCTTGCCTGGATGCATGCAGCTTAAACATGCCAGCTCCCCAGGACTGTGACTGCTCCCTGCTGGCTGGGGCTGGATGAGGGGAGGGTGGGGGATCCAGGAGAGGGGTTGGCAGTGGGCAGGCCCATCTCTGCCACTCAGTGGGGGTGAGGATGTTCCCTCCGGTTTCCTAGCAGCTCAGTGGACACTCTGGAGAGTCACCCTACTGCGACCAGTTTGACAAGATCCACCCAAGAAGGCTGCCTGCCAGAGCCAACGGGCTACACCGGTACCTGGAGGGGCAGGAGTGGAGTGAGGGACCCTGGAAACCAGCCAGCAGGAAACCACACAGTGAGAGACCCCTCCACTATGACAGACCCCTCCAAGGACGTATAGGTCAGCCTCAGCCAGAGACAACTGCAGAGCCACCACTGAGTGAGAAGAACTTTACTCCCCTTCCTGTGCCCGCAGAAGCGGGGGCGGAGGGAGAAAGAATCCCCCTCACCCACCACTGGCTTCTGAGCCACAGGTCAGTGCTCTACTGGGGGGTGAGAGAAGCTTTGAACTGGATGTGACATTTAAGTTGAAGCCGAATGGACAAGAGCATGTTTTTAATGTCTGGAAGTGACCAGAAAGCTACTGTGTCTGCCCAAGGCAGTCCTCAGGGGCCAGGTCAGAGCAGAGGTGGGAGGAAGACGAGGCGGTGTCTTGCTTCAAGGCCAATCTGTTGCTACGCCTTACATATATGCGGCAGCTGCCCCTCTCTGCGCACTGGAGAGTTCCGGAGGGACACGACGGCACAGTGGCTGCCTTTGCAACTGGAGGGACAGAGGGAGAAAGACCCATTTTCACGCATCTTAAGTCATTCAAAGTTTTCCTAACAGCCTCGTGTTACTCTCTAATTTAAAGAATTAATTTTCTAAAAATACAGACACGTTAACCAACACGTCTAGCTCAGAATCCCGTAGCCTCCCCACCAGCGAGCAAGTCTCAGGAGACGGGTGTGTTCCGGGGCTCGCTGGTGGACCACCGTCTGTGGGAGAAGAGGACGTTCTGAGCAGCGCTTGCCAGCTTCCGGGGTGCACATACTGCAGCCACAGCGGATTCCAAACTCTCAGTAGTTTAACCAGTGGCTCGCCAAGTTCCTGGCTATTCAGCGAGCAGCTGCGTCCGGCCCCAGCACACCACAGAGTGTGGCGTGGGAGGCGGTCGCCGGCGGCCTTCCCTGGCAGCTCACCCCCAGGCTCTGTGACCCACCAGCTGCGGGCAGGCGTCGTCCACCCAGGAGTAATGAGGGGTCACCAGTTCAAGAGCAAAATGTTGGGGCACTCAGGCAGGCCAGCCCCCGGATCCCAACAAGCTGCTTGTTTGAGCCAAGTGGAAGATTCTAGGAGGCCTGGGAGGGCATCTGCAGGCAGAGGCTGTGTCAGGGGAGACAGAGGAGCTATGCAAACCCGAGCCTCAGCAGGGACCTTTGCAGCTACAGAGCTCCCCCGAGCAAGGATGGGGGGGAAGTCGGGCAGTGAGCTCTGCGAGCACCCCATGTTAGCACGCCACAGTCTGGCCGTCGGGTCATGATGGCAGCAGGAATGCCGACACGGCCCGCCACTGAATGAGTGTCTGGTCGGGGCTCTGAGCTCACCATGCACTCCATCACCGTGCACAAAGCGCGCACTTATTCCTCACCGCTGTATGAGACAAGGACTCTTATCATTCCCACTTTGCAGGAGGGGAAGCCGACACTTGGGTTAAATGGCTTGCCCGAGGCCCTCAAGCTGCCTACCCTGCTGGTCCCACTGAGATGCCACCTGCTGCTGATCCTGGAGGAAAGCTGGGTTTCTCTGAGGCTGCACTAAGCCTCGGAGCACAGTGAGGCAGAGTCCCCGGACGGCGAAACGGGGTCCACCAGCAGGTGTTGAAATGTGGCATGAAGGGTCTGGATCTGGTAGCCAACTCCCTGTCCCCACTCAAGAAAGACTGCCTACGTGGCTGCACCTGCTTCCTGGGCAGAGCAGAGCAGAGCAGAGCAAAGGCACTTTCTATCTCTGCTGTGTGCCCTTTGGATACATCCTTCCATCCGTCCAGGCTTCAGTCCATCACTCTTAAAAATAGAGAATTAAAGAACGAAAGACCTGCATGTTGATAGACCCATTTCTCTATCGGTGCAGATACCGGAGAGCCCGGGGAAATGAGTCCATGCTTAACGGAACAGGCATTCTGCAGGTTTGTGCTACTGCACGGGGCAGAACTCGGAAGGACGCCGACGACGCAGCCGTTCCGTACAAACAGGTAGTTTGTCAGAGGTCAGAAACAGGAGACGGATCGGCGGAGGAACAAGCCACCCCACACGTTTTCGGCGTGCCTGCAGTGTCCAGCACGGCACGAGGTCTGGGGAGAGCGCCAGGAGCCTGCTGTCACAAGGGCGAGGCCCCAGGACTCGGGTCACCCTGGGTTGGAGCTGCAGCTCTCCCGTCACGTGGTCCTGGTGGGTCCTCTCTGAGCCTCTAGTTCCTTGTCTTTAAGGCTTCTGTTGTCACAGGAAGGGGTCAAATGACTGAGTTCTGCATCCTGACATCGAAAGTGATGCCTTCGAGGGGTTTCCTGGAAAATCTGCTTTCCCGATAGAAATAACAGAAGCCGGGGGGTGGATGACGGGGCCAGTCACCCTACTCAGAGGTGCTGTCAGCTCATAGATGGAATTGCTAAGACCCGAGCAAGAAAGAGATTGGCCCGGGCCCAGCCTGGACCACAGCCAGACCCCTGACTCTAAGTTCAGGGCTCTCTACACATGTGACAAACCCACTGAGACGTGCCGTCCTTCCCAGGACACGAAATAACCAAATTACCTCCTCCCGGGGGACAGCGTGTGGCTGCAGGGGGCCTGCGTCCGCCTGGTGGGTAAGACCGAGCTCGCGAGGGTGCTGAGGTATTCAGGGGCATGGGGCAGGGATGGGCCAAGCTGGAGGGGCGAGCCTGCTGGCGGCTTCTGGGAGGGGCTGGGGCACCGCACAGCCTTGTGTCGTCGGGTCTGGGCTTCCGGCGACCAGCAGACGCTGAGTTGGTGGGAACACAAGCCAGCAGTCCCGCAGTCGAAGGAGGTGAGGGCAGGACTCAGCTCGCTGTGCCACGGCGTCGGGTCCAGCACTTACTGAGCGTGGACCCAGGGCTAAGGTTTCACGTGGTGCTTCACTTTCAAAACAGCCCCGCGCGCTGGGTGTGATTGCATTTTCCTCACTTTACAGAAGAAGGACCCCCTGAAGGGGCACGGCCTGGTCAGGGCAGGCTCCAGGCCACAGAGCTCAGCCCGGGCTCTCCTGCGGGTCGGCTTTCCAGCAGCCTCTCCCACCACCCGGCCCGGCCCTCCTGCTCTCGCATCTCTTCTGGCTCCCACGCAGCCTCCTGCTTCTCTTCCCTGGGGCCTTGGTGGCTCAGGAGGGCATCCGCCAGCTGGAATGCGTCCCTCTTATACACACAACGTGACCTTCCAGAAAGAGGCTCGGGCTGGGGTTTCCTGGAGAAAAGAAAGTGGGCCCCCTTCTAAGCACCAACACTAACACTCACACCGTTTGCCGAGCGGGTCAGAGCTCTCAGATACCCTTGAACGACACCCGCACTGATAGGCGGTTGCGTCTGGTACATGCACTCTAGCTTGTGGGTTGACAACCTCTCTGACCTCAGTTCCCTCGTGTGTCGAATAGGGGCAGGATTGCTTCCCACACAGGTGGCCGTGGGAGGGTGGTGCCCACCAGAAAGCAGCCCACAGGCCTGTCCTCACTGCCCCGCTGCTCCTTCCCACAGGCTTCCCAGACATACCTGCCCCCCTCGCCTCCCCGGGACGCAGGGGGAGGACTCCAGGGCTCCCGGTGGAGTTCTGCACAACTTGGGATCAGTCACCTTTCCCCACGTGCTGTCAGTTTTCCCCTCAGACCCAGGAGGACGCGTTTCTGTGTCTGCCTCTATCCTTCGAGGCCTTTATCCCTTGTGGCCAAAGACCCGTCCTATCAGCTGCGCGCCTGCAGGTGGAGTTAGGAGGGGGAGGGGGTGAGATGCAGGAGTCAGAGAGACACAGAGCCGTGAATTCCAGTGACGAAGATGAGTGAGCTCTGGACGTCTGCCGTAAAACACGGGATCTACAGTTAACAGTATTGTTCGGAGTGCTTAGTGGGCAGACCTCATGCGAAGCGTCCCTCCCCAACAAAAGCAAAAAGGGGGGGGGCGGGGGAGCACGGTCCTTGGCGGTGGGCTCGCCGGGCCGCTCCAGCCGGCAGGTGGCAGAGCTGCGCCACGGAGTCCCCGAGAGCCTCTGAGGTCACCACCAAGGCTGCAGCTTTGGGAAGGAGAGACGGGCAGCAGGGAGTGTGGGGAGGGTGTGCAGAGGAGAAGCTGTGACCGGAACTCAGGAGGGAAGGTCACCAGGGAGACTGCTAGGGTCAGGGCCTGGGATCCAGGACAGGTGCAGTGGGACCCAGTCCTTGTTCAGGGCCTCACTCTGTGCTCTCGTGTTCCGGCGGACTTTGGACCGGCCATCTCACCGGCGCGTCTGTGGGAGGACGCTGGGAGAATCCAGGTGGCAGCGGCAGTGGCCACACAACAGGGCACAGACCGGGCGGCTTTGGCGGTTCCGGGCGTGCAAGTCCACGGTCAGGGTGCCCGTCGGGGTGAACGGCTGGCAAGAGCTCCCTCCTTGCGGGGCCTCACCTGTGCGGTGCAGGGGTGGTAGGGGCGGGAGGGGGAGCTCTGCTGACTCCTCCTTTCTTAAAAGGACACCAGTCCTGTCCAATTAGGACCCCACCCTTACGAATCATTCAACCTTAATTACTTCCTCAAAGGCCCCATCTCCAAACCCAGGGACGTTGGGGGTTAGGGTTCCACCATATGGATTTGGGGGGGCACAGCTCAGTCTGTAGCAGAAGCTAACAAGAGTGCCTTCTGATAGGGAGGTTATGGGAATTGCCTAAAAGGGCGTCTAATAACAGAGCACATGCCTGTCCACTCCTGGGCCACAAGCCTGTTTAAAATTCAAGTTCCTTGAGGCCCAGAGGGGTTTCGGGGAAGAAAGGGAGCCCCATGTTTAGGAATGCTGGTGCATCTGCTCCCCTCCCAGCTGACCAGGGCAGGGGGCTCCTTCCCCGGGAAGGTGAGCCCCTCAACACTCCAGGCCTTCTTCCCGAACATCCCAGCTCGACGGCCCGAGACTGGGCTCTAGGTGGGACCTGCAGTAGGCAAAGCCAACAGGCAGAAGGTCGGAGGGGCAAGTGTTCTCACCTCTCTTCCGCTGGAGACCCGTACCGAGGCGGGGCTGCCGCACGCAGGCCTTCTTCGCTGCCCGTCTGGGCAGGAACCGGAACTGACACGAGGAAGGAGGAGAGCTGGAGACAGCTTCAGGCACAGAAATCAGACCTACCCCTCAAGGCCGGGACACGGGGTCCCACCCTGGGAATCCCAGCGTCTCGCCGGAAGGCTCCAGATGGGGTAGGTGTGGCTGCAGAAGGAGCTTCAGTAAGAGCCAACGGCTCAACTCACACTCTCGGACCCTCCACTTGCTTCCCTTCCAGTGAATCTGCCCAGACACACGTCTCCCTCCCCGTGTGAGCCGTCGTGTCCACTTACGGAGCGCTCAGAAGTCCAAAGCAGCTCACAGACGCAGCCACATGCTTCCGCTGTCTCTGGGGGCTAGGCAAGGCACACAGTTCGAAGGACAGTCGTGGGGGACACGAGGATGTCAACATCACGACCACCTACGTTCGCATGCTCATTTTTATCATTGGCATCAATGGCCCACACTTTAACTCTCTGGGGGGTAGGCTCGGAGCTAGCTACAGTGGGGGCCACGTTCAGTTAGGCTGGGTCCTGGCCCCCAGGAGACACCTCGTTGAGCTGGGGACACAGACTAATCAGCAGCACGTATAACATACTCTGTGTGTGCCTGCCGCTTGGTAGGTTTTCAAGGGGGCAAACAGGGCTCAGGTACTCTGGGAGGGCTTCCTGCAGGAGATGGGCTTTGAGTTGAAAACTGAATTCAAAGTAGCAGTTCGAAGAGTACAGATGGGCAATGCAAGCAGAAGGTAGAACCTTGCAGGCAGGAGCCCGTGAGCAAATGCATGAAGGAGGGGCAAGTCATGCCTCCTTGGGGCCCGCGGCTGTGCTGACCAAGACCAGGCAGGAACGGGGACAGCATGGGAGGGTCTTGAATGTCTGGCGGGGTGAGTGGAAAGCGCCTGAAGCTAGGCTCTGTCTCCACTTTGGAGTTAAGACCTACCATTTTTTAACTTGTCTTTGTACACCTACTTCCCCTCTGCACACTGTCCCTGCAAAGGTTAGACCAGGGACTGCCATCCTTCTGTACCCAATGTCAACCTGATTCAGAGCAGAAGTTCCTTCTTGCTGGGGCCTGAAGGAAGCACCTGCCTGCTGCATCCGGAAGGCGCGGCCTGGATCTGTGAGGCCCCTCAGCCCGCCCCCCACCCCTCGGCCTTCACGTCCCAGCTCCCCGGCTGTGCACTCATGTGAGATCATAAGTCACAGTGCCATAAACCACTCCAGAGTGTGTAATAAGTGAATTATTTACCAATGACCCTAGCTAAATGTTCAGAGGGATAAATGATTAAGCCGCAGATCTGTCAAAAAGTTCCCATAAATAAGTAATTCTGTGCCGCCTTAATGGGCTTTGTAAATTACTCATTCATGCCAGTGCTGGATCACTCTCTGGGGTAAATCCTTCCACCTGCTGATTTACTGCTGAGGTCTGGAGAGGGTGGGACAAACCCTGCCTGCCAGCTGGGTAGGCTCCCCAGGTGCCAGGTCCTTGGAATGGCTCACCCTCCCCTGCCGCGTCACCTCCCAAGAATGGAGGTCAGAGGTGGACCGGCTTCCTTGGTCACCTGAAGGTGTGTCCTGTGAGGTAACTGCGGGGCCCAGGGTCCTCTCCTGCAGGTCTTTGCTCGGTGAACAGGCTCTTAGCACCTCTTGTGCCTCGGGCTCTGTGCTAAATGCTGGGAAGCCAGAGGTCAGATGTGCACCCCTGGGAGCTCAGTCCGATGACAGGGACGAGCGCGGACATACAGTATGATCAGTGTCTCTCTGGAGTACGGGGCGGGGGGAGCTCTAGTCAGCGAAGAAGCTGGGGAACATGCCCAGCACGGGGGTTCTGAGTCTCCACTCGGCAGTGGTGGGGGGCTGGTGGCCCCCCAGCTGAGGCAGGCTGAGCTGTGCGGCTGGGAAGACGGCCCCACACTGCAGGTCGGCCGAGGCCCGGCCCTGCCCGGGGGGACGCAGGCTGACGGCGCAGCTTCACCTGGACGCGGCCAGCGCCAAGTGCATCCCGGAGCCCAGAGCTGCCAGCCGGAGTGACACATGCACCCCCGTCACTGGCCGGAGCAGGTCCTCCAGCGACGCTCCAGCTCAGCAGAGACAGGGGGAGAGAGAGGTACGGACAGCTCTGATCTGACCCCAAGAGCAGACTCTGGCTCTGAACTCACCGGCTGTGCAGCCCGGAGAGGGCTCCTGACCTTCCTTATCTTCCCGCTTCTTCAGCTATAGAATGGGGGCAAACCTAACGACGATGCTTTCTTGGAGGGGTCAGCGGGATCATCCGCATTCTGCACTCAGTGCCTGGCATGCGGCAGGTGCCTGTGGCTTGGTTGGCTGTCGTCCCTAGTTTCTGGCAGCAGCAGCAGCAGCAGAAGGGGAGATAGTGAGGACTGGGTCACGCCCACGAACACAGGCACAGGCACACATGCACACGGACCTTGCTCAGTGAGCGTGCTCTGGTGACAGCACCCTCCCAGTACCCACTGGCCCCCGCGCAGACACCAACCTTAGCCAGCAGCAGGCAGTGAGGGGGAGGGGCAGCCCCTGTCCTCCATTGTCCGCACACACACTGCGTGTCCACCAGGTCCGGTCACACTCCCACTCTCGGCCTCAGGCACTGCCTCACAGCAAAACCAGACTAACTGCACCACCCAAGGACATGCTCGGGGCCGGGATGCCTGCGCTCCCCTTCAGGCCCAGGTCTTTGAATGTCCTCTCCGACCGCCACCACGCCAGCCCCGAGCAACCTGGGCCGTCTCCTGCGCTGGTCCTGTGCGGCTCAGGCCTGGACCCCCGGTGGCTCGGGATGAAGAGGAGGTGCGTCAGACAGGACCCGGGCTTCCTCTGCCTTCCCGGAGGCCAGAGACATCTGTTTCTGGAGCTCTCGCGTCAGCACAAAATGTGTCCCAGGGAGCGGGAGCAGGACAATTATGTAAATTGGTTGTCTTTGGGGAATGCTTCAAGCCTGCTCTTAGAGGCCCAAACCCATCACTGGGAGGAGGGCCCTGAAGGGTCGGTGACCGCCGAGGCTCCCTGCCTCCCCAGCCGTGTTCCTGCGGACCGTGGGGTATAAGGAGCAGACTGATGTTACATGATCCAGGGCCCAACTCGGGCCACATGTCCTGGCCCCGCCTGTCCTCCACCTGAGAGAGGCTTTGTGTTCCGTTCCGAAAGACAAGACGTGATTTCCTGCCTTTCCAGACCAAACCAGCTCACACGTCTTCACAGCCTGACAGGCACTCGGCGGTGTAGGACCTGCCCTGAGCTCTTCCTTCCGCACTTGCTCACCAGCTGCTGTCCCCAGCTCAGGGGCTTCTACCCCGCAGCCCACGACTCCGGGACATGGTGCCAGGAGACGTAGGTCTTGAGAAATGCAAATGTAAAGCAAGAAGAAGTGATGCGGGTCACGGGTTGGAGCAAGCACCGGAGTGGTCTGATGGCGAGCGGCAGGTAACAGGACGTGTGACGTCAGAAGCTTCTTTGCCTGCTGTCCAGCCTTGGGGACATGGTCCTGGCCTAGGGGATGGCAGACACTTTAGGGGAAGCTGGGTCTGAGGACCACACAAGGGGACGCAGGTGCTCTGGAGGCAGGAGAGCGACGCAGGAGGGAACGACACCATGCAGGTGCCCAGAGGCCAGGGAGAGCCAGGCCGCAGATGGGACCCCGTGCTCCTCTCCTGTGACTGGACTGCACAAAACTCTGTCTACTCTGCATCTTGTGGGGGTCCCATCATTTAACGCCCACCTCACTGCAGCCCTTAGGTGTGTACTGTGAACCCTTCCTCCCAGACCACTGGAGTGAGCTCAAGCTAGGAGCTGCCGGCACTCAGATGGGAGCTGAGCCAGAGCATCCCTCGGGTCTGAATCCTGCCCCCAGGACTGCACAGCAGCCCCTGCGGCCACCCGCCACGGCCGCCACAGCGAAGCTGAGGAGATGCCAGTCAAATCGTGTCATTCCTCAGCCTAAGCCTCCTCGATGGCTCCAGTGCCAGACCCAAGTCACGGTCCCCCATGTCTGGCTGTGTCTCCCACCTGTACCCACTGATCTCCTCGCATCAGCTGCACCAGGAGCCAGAAGAGCACTCAGTGAGCACCTGCTTCAGGCCCCACACCTACAAGCACCGTGCACACGGGGCATCGGTTCAGCCTCATGGTGAGCTGGAGAGACCGGTGTGGTGACAACCTCGCTATTTTTCGGAGGAAGCGGATCCCAGAGCTCTGCTGTGGTCTGCCCACAGTCACGCGTCCTGCCAAGTCTGGAGGTCACATCTGGGCAGTGCCGTTCTAGAACAGAAATGCTGAGCTCCCTGGGATTCCCAAGTACAAGAAGCTGTTTCAGGTTCCCATGATTTGACTCATGTCCTTGCTTCTATCGGAAATGCCAGTCCTGGGGCACCTGGGGGACTCAGGCGGTGAAGGTCTGCCTTCATCGGGTCATGATCTTGGTCATGATCAGGTCATGATCTTGAGATCCGGGGATCCAGCCCCACATCGGACTCCCTACTGGGGTAGAGGGGGTGTTCTCCCTCTCCCTCTGCTTCCCCACTCGTGTTCACTGTCTCTCACTCATTCCCTCCCAAATAACTAAATAAAATCCTTTAAGAAAGAAAGAAAGAAGAAAGAAAGAAAGAAAGAAAGAAAGAAAGAAAGAAAGAAAGAAAGAAAAAGAAAGAAAGAAAGAAAGGAAGGAAGGAAGGAAGGAAGGAAGGAAGGAAAAAAGAAAGGAAGGAAGAAAGAGAGAGAGAAAGAAAGAAAGAAAGGAAGAAAGAGAGAGAGAAAGAAAGGAAGAAAGAGAGAAAGAACACCATTCCCTTCTTTCTTCCCCACTGGTCTTTCCAGACCTGGTTTAAGACACATTTTCAAAGTGTTTTTCACTCTGAGTTAGGTTAGCGTGTTTAAATTGTTCTCACCGAGTGGGTATGGCACCCGGTCCTCATCTCTATGTTCGTACTTCTGCTTGGGTGTCTGTTGCCCCTCCAGGATTTACAGCAACTTAAAGACAGGCCGCACCATCTGGCTGTATTTGTCCAACCCGAGAGAGAGGAGGACGCGCTTCGCCTCAGCTGTCCGTCGTTTCTTGCCTCTCTTTACAGCATAGCTTCTGCATCCCTGCTTTTTAAAAATTTATTTAGTTTTTAAAGATTTTTTTTTCTTAATTTAGTTATTTGACAGAAAGAGAGACAGCAAGAGAGAGAACACAAGCAGGGAGAGTGGGAGAGGGAGAAGCAGTTTACCCACTAAGCAGAGAGCCCGATGCGGGGCTCCATCCCCGGACCCTGAGATCATGACCTGAGCCGAAGGCAGATGCTTAACGACAGAGTCCCCCAGCTGCCCCATGCATCACTGCTTTTAATGTCAGTCCTCACCCACATTCTCAGGCCTCTCGCCCCACTTCTGGCCTCTGTCCCCATCACTCCGGCAAGGTCACCTGTGACCTCCTCGTGCGGTTCTCCCCTAGTGCAGCCTTGGACATGCTGACCGCCTCTCCCCCCACCGCCCGGACTCTCCCTCCTTGGCTCCCAGGACGCCGCCTCCCCAGGTTTCTCTCGACTGTCCTTCGAGCCTCCTCTGCGGGTTCCCCACCCTCCAAACCCCGCAGTGTCCCAGCTCCGGTCCTCACGTCTCCTCTCCTTTCTGACCCACACTCATGCGCGTCTTAGGTGACCTCATCCAGTCTCGTGGCTTTAAATACCATCTATATGCTAATGACGCCCCAAGTTACATCTCCTGCTCAGAATAGTCTCTCCTGAACTCCAGATTCCATCATCCAAATCCTTATGGGCGCTCCCCTCGGTGTCCGGCACACACCGCAAGCGGAGCGTCATGTCCGAGCCCAAGCTCCTGACCTTCCCTGCGGCCCCCCACCCGGGCGCAGGCAGGCCTGCTCCTTCTGCCTCTGTCCAGGACAGCGCCTCAAGCTACAGCCGGGCCTGGTTCTGCGGTCTCTGTCACCCTCACACCCAACCCAGCAACGACACCCAGCTGTCCCACCTTCAGAACAAGTCTGGGGTCTGTCCCTCCCCAGCTCGTGCCCTGCTCTGCCTCCCCAAATCACTCTTACCCGATTGCTAGGCGGCCTCCCCTCTAGCCTCCCGGCTCTGCCTGTTTCCCACGGCAGCCAAATGTTCCTGTTCAAACCTGTCAGGCCGCATCATTATCATTCTTCAGCTCAAACCCTCCACTGGTAACCCGTCGTGTTGGTATTAAAAGCTCTGAGCCTTCGCAGTGATCCCCAAGGCCCAGGGGCCTGACCTCTGCCTCCTACACTCTCTTCCTTGCCGCTCCTCAAATGCTTTGGACATGTTCCCACCTTCCAGCCTCTGCACCTGCTGGACCCTCTGTAGAACGCTGTCCCCAGATCTCTGCATGTCTGACGCCCTCCCCTCCTTCAGGTCTGTATTAAACCTCACCTCCTCAGAGGCGCATCTTTCCCTGGCAAATACAACCCCCCCACATTTCCCGCTCCCCCTTTCCACTTTCTCTCTTTAGGATGTATCGTTACCTAATGCACCAAGTATTGATTTACTCATAATATTGCTTATTTCCCCTCCATAAAGGTAGGTTCTTCTTGTCTGTCTGTCCCTGCTGTTTCTCTAATGCCTGGTACAATACTGAGCACACAGTAGGCGCTCCCTAAATATTGGTTGAATGAATGAATGACTCTCTGTGACCCGGGCTCCGAGACCCTCGGAAGCACTTGCTGACATGAGGGAGTGCTCCAAGTCCCCTCTGCAGGGGTGTTTCCTTGTTTTCAGCAAGTCCAGCAGATCTTCCCAGCATCAGAAGGTTCCATTCACATGTAAATACAGGAACCTCCCGGAGCCAAAGGGAAGGAGAAATGACTTCTGTGTTCTCCCGTATATGCCCCTGAACCATCCATCAGAGCGGAGAGCAGCCCTGGGCCAGAATGTGGTTCACTTACAAATAGAAGCAGTGGGAAAACCAGCTACTTGATGAGCAAAGTTCTGGAAAATGCTCTCTTCAGGAGGAGAGAGGAGGTTTCTTGCTCACCTGGGAGGAAATTTCTGGTTTATTGTGTTTCTCTCCAAAGTTATGGCTTTCCAATCCTGCCAGATGCCGGCAAGGGAGCACTGCCTTTCAGAGTGGGGCTTCCAATTCTGAAAAATTAATTTTAAGTAGAGCCACACTACACACCCCGGCAGGGCACTTTGCGGGACACTACACACCCCG